ATTAAGTAACGTTTCTAATCTATAATAGAAATAATATTTCGTAATTGTGTAATCAAGGATTTTGTCTCTATGAAATGTAAGAATGTATGTTTAGTTTCTATTACTTTCGTCTTTCCTAATTCAAGGGGTAATAGGGGTGTATCAAGTTCATGTATTTCAATGTCGCAGATTACAAGGACAGGGATGAATGTTAGGAGGAATATTATAATGATTTTGGGCGTTGTTCTTCTGTTCATGGTCCTGAAAAAGTTAATTTTTTAGTCGGTTTTTTAACTATTGATTTATGTATTTGTTTGTCTTTGTCTAATAGTATTTTGGTACCTAAATCGCGTTTAACTTTTGATATGGTATGGCGAGGTTTGATTTTATTTCCTTTAGCTTCTCGATTTTTTATGAATATTGTTTGGTTATCTTCGTAGTTAACGGGATTTTCACGGGTTTCGTTGCGTTTATTAATAATTTTTTCTTTTTGATTTAATGTCCTCTCAGCTATTGTGTCATATAAAGTTATTAGTCTTTTTCGTCTTTCTGCTATATAGTCATTAACATTTTTTTCGTCTGTCAAATCAAAGGGGTCGAGTGCTTTAGTATCGCCTAGAATAATATCGTAGGGTCTACATTTTGTTACGCTATGGATTGATGAGTTATATCCTAATTACAGCTAACTGTATAAATTGTTTTGGCGTTATCTTAGGATTTTCAAGTTTAATTGTGCGAGCGTTTTCTAAAAGAGATAAATGGAATCGTTCAACTGGACTATTGCTATTGGAATTTCGAGGAGTTGTGAAATGTAACTGAATTTTATGAAGTTTGCAAAATTCTTTTAATAATTGGCAATGGAATTCTGTTCCACTGTCACATGTTATTGCAGCTGGTATTCCGAAGTGGGTTATGAAAAGGTTTAAGCCTTCAATGATTGCTAGGGAATTAAGGGTTTCTATTAAATATGCTTGTCCGTACTTGGAAAATTAATCAAAAATAGTTAGAAATTTGGTTTTCATTATTTGAAACACATCGATATGAATCATTTCAAAAGGTTTAGTAGGCGTTAATGTAAGGGAGTATTTAATTTTAGGTGGGTGGCGATCGTATTTTGCTTGTTGGCAAATTTCGCACGAATTTATGTATTCGGTAATGTTTTTTTTTTTCATATCAGGCCAATAATATTTTAATTTTAAAGCTTCTAACGTCTCATTGATTCCTCGATGACACGTTTTCTTTTCGTGATGATATTTTATAGTCTGTTCTCTATCTTCTACATTTTCTAAATCTTTTACAAATTTTTTTGAAATGACTAATTTATATGCATGGTTTTTAAAGGTTTTCTGTAAGGTAGATTCTAATATAGGTATCAGCTTAAACGAAAATTCGATTACGTGTATGCAATACAGTTTCTTGGGATCTAAATGATTTTTAAACAAATTAATAATTTCGTTTTCGAGGTCTTCTGTAAAATTTACAGATATGCGGGATTTAGATTCGAATGGAGTTTCTTTAGTTATATTGAAAGTTCTAAATTTACTTTGTTTTATTATAATTTGTTGATTATACGAGTTTGTTATATTTTCGGTAAAAGGAATACCTAATATGGGATTTTCTTGTGAACTGTGTATCGTTTCATTGTCACTATTATCATCTAAGTCATGTATTTCTAAGTGTGATTGATTATTATCTGTTTCTTGATTATTATTTTCTATAGGGTTATTAAGAGTCTTTAACATATTATCTAATTCGTCATAGATTTCGTTAAATGCTAAGTCTGAGTTTTGTCCGTCGTTATTTTTATTTTCAAACGTTTGTATATCTTCGTTAATGTCTCCGGGGTTACCTAAAATTGAGTCGTTGTCTAGCATATTTATTTCTATTTTCTCGTTTAAGCATTTTGCTTCCGTACTATTTAAAAAATCTTCTACATGATAAAATTCAAAATTTTGTTTATGAAAGCTGTTTAAAGGTATCACTTGCAAAGGTTCTTTCAACTCTACTTCTACGCGTTTATCAGTGTTATTAATAATCTCGGTTTTTGCAAAACCGTGTTCTACAACTGTTAATGTTTCTGGAAGATAAAGAGTATCAAGTTGCATTGCCGGCACGATAACTTCTCCGGAATAATAATTTACAGGAACTTTGATTGCGGCAATTTCATGGGAATCAACTGATATATTAAAACGTTTTCTATTTAAATTATAAAATATGGGAATTTGCGTATTTTTATTTTTTAAGATATTATTTTCAAAGTCTAGGCATAATTTAAGATTTTTTATTACATTTAGACCAATAAGTCCGTCGAAGTGATTATGAAATTGGAATAATATGAATGGTATTGTAGAAGATGATTTTAATTCTGTAAATGCCGGTATGTCGGTTTAAATTTTGCTTCCTTTTGACCTACGACTGTTTTTATAAATGTCGTTTCATGATAAATAGTATCAGGAAAGTACGTTTCGGCGATACCTGGATTTAATATTGATTGCATGCTACCGGAGTCCACCAAAAGTTTTAACGGAGGATTTTCAATTTCAATAAAAGGTAATTCAGAAGTATTTATGTCTAAAAATATTTCATTTGTTACGTGTTTAGCTGATTCTGGCCTAGTATCCAAAAATTTTCGTCATTAGAAGCAACGTCATTCAAGTCGTAACTTTCTTGGTTATTATTGTCAGTATATAGATTTGATTTATTTGGAGTTTGAACATTATTTTCTGTATTAACTTTAGTTTCAATTTGGTGTAATTCTTGAGAATTAAAATTTCGGGGACCGTTTGGTTTAAAATATTTGTTACGTGATTGATTGTTTCTAAAAGTATTTCTTGAAGTTGTTGACATAGGTTCAGGGTCATTTTGAGGAATTCTTCCTGTGGGTGCAAATGCGTTTTTAGGTGGTCCAAATACTTGTCTGTTCGTTGGGAATTGTCTATTAATTTGTCGTGGTTGAACTTGGATAGGTTGTCTCGGAAATTGATTAAAATTTTGGTTTTGATTTGCATTAAAAGATGGGGGAATTTGATGTTGGGGGTTTGTATGAAAATTTCGTTCAGGTACTGGTAAATTAAAGGTTGAGTATTGTGGGTTAGCTGTATAACCCATGTTTTGATAATTATTATTAGGCGTTGCATAAGTTTTGACGTTATGTTGATTTTTTGCATTATGATTATTAAATTGTTTTTGGTATGTTAGGTTTTGTGTAGAATTGTTTTGAGTTTTAATATTATTTTGAGCATAATAAAAATTTTCTTCCTCAACAATATGAGCAATAGCGGTTTCTATAGTATCGGGGTTTTTAATTATAATAGTATGTTGTAAAAGTCCTGTCAAATTTCTAATTAAAGTTCTAAGTGACATTTGGTCATATTGTCTACGATAAATTTCTTTAGTATTAGCATTCATTTCTTGTTCCGAAAAACTATTTACTCTTTCGATCAATTGGCTTCTTAAAACCTGTAGTCTTTTTGCGAATTCTAGAATAGGTTCATGTTTTAATGGTTTAGCCATTAACAGATCCTGCTCTAGGCATTCTAAAGATCTCTTGTCTCCAAAACTTTGTTCTAGAGCGTTCTTTAATAAATTCCAATTATTTAATTCTGTTCTCCTACTAACTAATTGACGTGCACTACCTACTAACTTTCATTTGTTTATCTGAGTGGATGAGATATCAAATTATAAAATGTCAGAACTGTCAACAATATCAATTATTAGCTGATGTTCATGCTAAAAAGTAATGTGTGAAACTGAGTGTAATCTGCCCAATCAGAAGGCTACAGAATTGCCAACTTAAATTCAAATCGCTCCTCTTAGTTTAAAAACAGAGTATAGTTAGCCTTAAGTGTTTCGCGCCGATGCGGCTTGGCGAACGCGATTGTTGTCACGTATCCATTTGTTTACAATAGTGAACATCCGGGTTCTCGAGCACAGGACCGCCTTTGATATTTTTAAATGGCTATGACAGGCTATGATACAGTTGCGTTAGGGTGAATACATAAAAATGAGCCCAGTGTAGAAAGAATGTACATAAAAAAGGTACTATAAACGCTGGGAAGCAGGGCAGACCGTAAGAAAGCATGCTTAAACTGCTGAGACGCAGATCATACAACAAAGGAGTGCCAAAACGTAAAGTACTGCCCCCTGTGCGAAGAGACAGGTCACCGTGCAGACATCAGCAAATGCCAACAAAGGAAATGAAAAACAATTCTTGTATATCTATAATAATTATACATTTTACTTTAATAACCTATAATATACATAGTAGATAAAATATAAAATACAAAATTGTATACAAATTTCTAATAATAAGTATATTAAATAAATTGCAATAAGTAAAATTCGTATAACAAATCGAGAAAAATTTAGCTTTTGTGTCGAATTTTTACACGTGAATCTAGGACGCAAAGTTTAATGATTTTTTTTATTTTATAATATTTTTTTATAGATAAATTTAAACAGCTTTGCAGTCAGAGTTAAACTGAGTAGTTTAATATGGTGATAGACTTTCCATCAAAGACAATAACGAAAAAGTGGAGAATGTAAAATATATAAGAATAGGTACTTTCCTGATTGTAGCAGAATTTTACATAAATAAAAATTTCCTAGGTTTATTCAGTCACGTTTTTATTTTCTATCAATTAAACAAGCACTATATATGTTAAGGAAATTTTTTTTCTATCTTCTGGTGCAGTCAAAATTAATAAAACATGGAGTACATTTGCAAACAGTTTAAAATTTTTAAAATAAAAAATAGAAGCAGCTTAAAAATTTTAAAATAATATTGACTACACCAGAAGATAGAAAAAAAAATTTAATTGATAGAAAATAAAAAAGTGACCGAATAAACCTAGGAAATTTTTATATATATGTATATATATATATATAAAATATATAAAGACAATACAGCTATATGAGTATATCAAATCATATGGAAGTCTCATACCGACTGATCACAGTATAAAAAAATGAGCGCCTTCATGCACAAGGAGGATTGGAGGCAGCGCAATCTTAGTCAAAGACACGGCACGATACGATCGAATTTTAGATTAGTTGGTAAATTTTAATATGGGGTGACAATAATAAATTTCGGTAAAACTATAAATAAAATAACAATTTGTAGATAAATATGAAGAGAAATCAACACATCTTCATCCGTTTGTATTTCGTATTTTCCTTTTCCTAACAATAATTGAAATTGTTGAAGTATTAATAAACATATAACAGGTACCAATATGCAGAAAAATATAAACATTAAAACAGTTCTACCAGTTAGCCACATGTGGATAGATGCGATTATGTAAAACACCATAGCACAAGTTACGAGGGTTTCAATTAAAAAGAAACATGCAGTAAAATCGATAATATTAATCCACGATATAAAAATAACGAGAAGCAGTATTATTAATGTTTCACAAAGACTTATTAACAACAGTTTATTAGTTTCGTATCCGACATGTATATACCCCAAAAGGTAACCGGTACACAATGAATAAAGAAACAAGTAAAAATAATTATCGGGTCTGCGATTTCTAATATTTGGGTAACAAATAAGAGCGAAATATAAAGTCAAACCAACACCAAAAATGCAATACATTAATGTGCTATCGTAGCGCATAAAATTTGTCAAAAACTGAACATAAACACAAATGAAAATTACTGAAAATGTTAAAATTAATTGTATTGCAAGAATAAGAAGAATATCTTTAAGCGAAACTTTCCTCGTTACTTCACCACCGCCTAATACCTGTGGAAAAAACTCCCCACTTTCGTTATAATCGTTAAGAATATAACGTGTTGGATAGACGAATATTTTGGTTCGTGGGATCGACATAAATTTTAAATTTAATACATCACAATATGGGACTGGAGGACACTTTTCATCGAAATTAAATACTCTTTTACCGTCTTTACTAAAGATAACTCCTGGCCCAGTTGCTTTATCTTGTTTATTTATTTTTACAGCAAAAGTATTGACTGTATTTTCTAATGGTATCAATTTTTTTGTATGCATATCTTCAACGGATTCTATCTGAGATTCTATAGAATTTAGTTCTAAATGTTGTTTTGTATTGGACACGATCGAATGAACATATTTCAGTTGCTTATTTTCTATTTCTGCACATGAGGTTCTTATGTCTATGTTAGACTTTGGTGACGGTACATATTCCACTTGAGACTCTATATAATTTAGGTTTCTTTCTGATTCATTTATTTTTAAATGTTGTATTGTATGAACATATTTCTGTAGTTGATCCTTTTTTATTTCTGCACATGACCTTTTCATATCTGTATTCGACGCTGATGAAGGCACATCTTTAATGCATTCCACATGAGATTCTATAACATTTAGTTCTCTTTCTGATTCATTTGAATTTAAATTTTGTATTGCATTGGACATGATATCATGAATATATTTGTTCAGTTGCTTCCTTTCTACTTCTGCACATGAGGTTTTTATATCTGAGTTAGATTCTGGTGAAGTCATGTTGAGAAATGAAATTATAAATTAGTATATAAATTATTTAATCCTTCTAAATTCATTTTTCTAACAATTAAGTATCTATTTGAATCAAATATGCACAAAATAAACTGAAATCTGGAAAACTCACAATAATGACGTGTTTAAACATGTCAGACAACTGTCCACAACAGTTAAGGAACGTTTATAATCAGAAATAAACTGAGTTTTGAAATAAAAAATAAATTTCTGTTTGGTTGGAGCATTAGAGAGTGTGATCCTCCGAGCAATTACTACTAGAAGGAGTCTTCCCCCCTTCCCCGCGCTAAATTTTGTTAGCAACATCTACTCCCCCCGAGGGGGAAAATACCTCTTCTGTAATAGGCGAAAAAAGCTTAGACTCCAGCGCCTCTACCGGTCACTTTTTCGTCCTCCGCTGGGCCATTTATAGTTTGTTTACATTTGTTTTCATATGACATGCCATAGGTTTTTCGTAAGATTAGGTGTTGAATTTTTCGTTTTTAAAGTGTGTAAAGGATTTTGTTAGTTTTAGTGTTGGTTATATATGTATTAATTAAACATTTTTATAGATAGTGGCAGTGTATTTATTTAGCAAAAGTATGTTTACCTTATATTACATTAACCCATAACCTAAATACATAATACTATTTTATCTTCCAAAGGTAACTTCCTAGACGGTACTGCATTAAATTTTAATCTATGTAATTTAGAGCTGTCCCCTACAAACAAAAACTATTAATACGGAAACACAAAAAACAACTAAATACTAACCTCTATAAAAATAATCGTTTTCAGAGAAATGCAATGAACATACTCTCATGTACGGACTCACAGGCTTTCCAATTTTTAATTTTCTTATCTATTCCTCCCTCCGATCAACACCTTCTCGTTTCCCTAATTTTGTTTCTACCAAAACACGTTGTCCTTTTTTGGGAAATGTATGAAAACTAAGTTCTTTATTTAGTTTTACCCAAGAGGAACACATGGGAACACAACAGTGATGGTTCATTTTGATAAAATAAACAATAATTTTATCAATTAAACGTCTTTAAAACACCATATACAAACAGAAACCGTAAGATTAACCTATATTATGCTTGAATCACATGAGTAAACAAAACATTAATGGCCCACTGGAAGGTTTCAAATTAAAACTGTAGGTGGCGTATCGCTTATTTTGTCAAGCCTATTGGCTTATTTAATTAGCGTTGCCAAGTTTGACAGCGCCAGTTCTGACACTTTCTGACACATGTCAATTTCTTATTTGTCTTTTACGGAAAATATTATTATTTATAACGTTGTAAGGGTTGTAAATGTATATTTAAGATTTATTATCTCTAATAATATGGTGAAAACATGCTTTATGTGCACATACTTTGATTACTATACGAGGCAAGAGAGAGGTCCGACACGCCCAACATAGGGCGCGGCCATTTTGAACCCTGTGACACAGTTTACAGCTAAAGAATCAGATCGCTCACTCTGCAACGGCACTTTTGATCTCAATGTTTCAGTTTATACACTGTGCAACTCGGATAATACAATATATGACAATCGCCTATAATAAAACAGCAATCATCTGCGTATCCTGAATTTGTATCCCTGGAGTGGATGTTATTTTGGAACTTTCAACTGGTCCGAGTGAGCTAACTGATTCTTTAGCAATAAACTGTGACTACAAAAATAATATTCACTGACACTGACAGCAGCAAGCAAAATATCAGGTGAGTTTTAATCATTCGCTTCTGCTTCCGGAATTGTCGGTTTAGTCGTTTTAACCTGTCATGTTAAAACAAGAAAACCGACAATTCCGAAGCAGAGGCGGATGATTAAAACGCACCTATTAAAAATATTGCGCCAAGATGTAGGCAACACGTAATAAGGGTTTAAAATGGCGGAGTTTTCTAACTCCTTTTAAAAGGCACTCAGAAAGCTGCGCAGTGCGACCATTCTCCGTATAGTAAAAGAAAATCAAAGTATGTGTTTATGTGTAAAAGGCCTGTTGAAAATGCTTCTTCAAGATAATATCATAAGTAAGTACAGACACAACCTAATTATCAGAGGCGGTGCATTAGGCAATCACCTTTAATTTGCAATTAAACTTTCTTATTTTCTTATCGAAAAATTAAAATTAAGAGCAAGTAAACTCCAGCTAAGTTCGTCTTCATCCGTCTCATAATGATTATAGTAAAGGTTAATTACTTATTATTTTAATATCACATCTTTGTAAAGTTTATTGTTATTTTTTTTTAGGTTTCCTTTTCTTGATATGAGAAAAAAATATATGGTTCCAAAATATAGGAATTCAACAAGTGACCATCTGAATAACTTTTTATGCTAATGAACATTTTTATTACAGACCTCAGGGTAGGAAAATATTAAAGAAAAATGCAATTTCGACGAAAGAAGTATAATAATCAATCTTGTCACTACTTCTACACTATATTCATCTACTACTTAAATACTAAAACAGCAAGTAAGTAGAGAAACTAAGTTTCTTTCAAAAAGAATGTTTAAGGAAAAAGGCATAGCCATTTTTTTGTTGACACTTTTTTTTTAACTAATCTAAAAGACTAATTTTGTGTATTGTTTAAATTTTCATTTTTTGTAATTAATTTGTCTTAGGTTTAAACAAAAAGAACTTCTAAGATATGCATGGAATATCCCAAAAGAGCTAAGGAAGGTTTTAAAATTCTTAAGAAAACTATTCATATCCAAAAACATAAAATAGTCATCCAGTCCAAAATATAAATAGGTATAAATATTTAGATATTATGAGTGATTTTTTATTCTATAAATAGAACATAATTTGCTTCTAAATCACTACCTAATGAAAACTATATTATATAGTACAAAACTAAACAAGAATATCACATTATTCATGTTTTTTTTTTAATTTCCTTAAAAAACGTCCCAAAAAATGTGAATATTTATTATTGGAGTTTACATCGTTACGCTAAAACAATACTAGAATAACTTAAATAATGTGGATTTTGACTATTTTGAGTTATACAGATCATTATGATCTAAAAAAATGTTTGTCTGGTACTATAGTCAGGTATAAAAACATTCATTTATTTAAACACAGTTGCAATATACATTTTATTTAGTTTTTAAGTTAAAACCTATTAGGACATCCTAAAATGACTTTTTTCGTTTGATGTGAGATTAATTATTCTACATTTTTGTTGGTGAAATAGGATATATTAAGATGTCTTACTGTTTTCTCCGATTATCTAAAAAGTTAGAACAATATACAAAGACTGTTATAACAAAAAAGAGATATACCTTTACTTAAACACACAATTAGTCAGTTCAATTGTACGATAATTTAAAGCAGAAATCCAGAAAACTTTAAAAATGTGTTTAAATGTAAGTAAAAATCCCTAGATGTGAGCCAGTGCCGTAGTTATTTTATTACAAAATAGATCTTCTTTTTTATGGTCTGCAACTACGAGAATAAAATTCAGTTAGGTAATTGTTAGAATTACAACACAAAATCATAATATTAATTAGAGGTGTTTTACATTATTGTATTTTAATGTTAGAATTCGATATTTTAATTACATTTAGTCAAATGCAATAATCTAATTTTTAAAATTATGATATAATTAACATAACCTTAAAAACTGAGCTATTTATATTTAACGAAAAGAATAATAAACTGAAATATGGTTCGTACTAGTTATTACAAAAACAACCTTTACCCGAACAGGACGCAACAAAGTTATGAACATAAAATATTATGAATTAAGATATGAATAAAATTAAAAATTATTTACTTTAGATCGACTCTAAGATATTTAGCTACAGCTGAAACTTTAAAACTTACTGGAATTGTACCTGGGCAATGGGAAGTAATAAACAAATAATTTTTTAGGTTTGTTCTATTATTTATTTGTTACAGGGTTTAAACCATTTACGAAATACATTATGTTACTAATATGTACCTATACAAAACAATATTAATATTATTAATGTAACGAGAACATATTTGTTTTACCTTACAGCTCTCAATTTAAATTATAAAGGCATACCTATTAATAATTATTTTATTTAAAAGGATATTGAGTAGTAATCGGTGGTGCACAAACGATACTAATTCACAGTACCTATCTGTTCAAAATCTTTACCACCAGCTTTAATACAAGCATTAATCGTTCTTTTTTGAACACATTATGCAGTTTCTTCTTAGTTATATTGTGTATTTCATTTAATATAGGTGCTCCAGTTTATAAACGCCACACAAACGATTTTGAATTGAGCGATCAGTAATATTCCATAGATAGGTTTAACAAAATTAAGGTAAAATGATTGTTGCAGTACCGAAACTTTATAGGGGATACATTATTAGAAATGTTTTCAATACTTTATGGCTAGTTCATAGCGACAAACCTAAAATATGTGTTTTGAATTTTACTCGCCAGAGTCAGTCTTTAAAACACCGTTCATACCTGTTTGAGGTACTGTTTTTTTTACTAATTTATTGGGAATTTGCACCATCTTAATTTGCACATCTTCAACAGTTTTTGTTATTACTGTGGGCCTTTTAGAGCTTTTCCTTTTTTATAATTTTGAACAAGTATTTGTTAATGACGACAAAAAAGAATCACATTCCATTTATTCACCTAGAAAATGTTCCTCAAATTTTCGAATACAATAACGAATATAAAATAATTTTGTTTCTGTGTAACATTACCTGAAATAAATTATATACAGTCATTAACTTTTACGAGTTACAGTAAATAAATTTCTACTTACCAACAAAAAAGAATTAAGCTACCAATGATCTCTATAAAAAAACTAATTGCTTTATTAATATTAAATGAAAAATGGAATAAAGGTATTTATAAAATATAAACAAATATAATATAAATATAGTCAGTCCCCAAGTGAACGCCAGTGACATTTCTGACAGGACTGACAGTTCAGTTTAGTTACTTTTACGTCAAATCAGGCCCTTTCAAAGGGTTTTTGATGGTTATCAGATCACGTGGGTTTCGGGTATTTTTGAAGACCTGGTATTATACAAATCACAACGAACTACACAAAATGACATTATTAATAATTTAGCAATAAAAAAGTTAAGTACAATGATGACATTAAAAGTTGAGTTTCTCGAAATACTTTTTTTAAATTGTCTCAGTACCTACCTAGTATTTTTCTAG